TGTTTGTTTTCACTAAACTTTATATTTTATCTGATATTTTCTCTAATCTAACTCTATACAATGTTGTTCAATTTGACCGACCTCCTACCCAAAGTAATTTTAAACTTGTAACAGTATACATATAGTTACACTAAAATTTTATTGTTTTATTTCCCTTGGAACTGTGTCTAAATACTATTGGCACCATTGTAAGTTGTAAATCACTTGGGGAACATGGAGGTCACATTATGCTATCAATTTACGTTACCCACTAGCTGCTCATGTATGTCCCTTATGAAACATTTTTATTATATTATTATTTATTTTACCTAATCTAACCTTAAATAACCTCAAGAGATCAATATTTTTACATTTTAGTTACTTCTATAATATAAATAAAGAACAAACATGAACAACAAGAAATAAAGTACTTACCCAAATTTTCTTTTTTCTTGCTGTCAATTGTTGATGACACTTAACCCTAATTTTTTTTATACTTATGGTAATAATGCACTAAATAATTTTTATTTAATTAAATAATGCACCAAAAAACATAGAATTATAACATGCAAAAAGCAGACAATTTCCCCTAACTATCACAGTTTTTCTAGTTTTCTAACTATGCAACAAGAGCTGTTACAAATTCATCCAAGCTCATCGTTATCTTTCCCATGGGAACAAAGCTTGTACTAACAGTGAAATTGACAATTTTCCATTTAGAAAACATTATACAATATGTCATTTGATAGATCAAAACATTGGCTTTCTATTGGTTATAGATAATACAGAATTAAATGTATGAGAGAACTAGTTAACAAATCCTGAAAAAGAGGATATGACAGGTGGGTGTGGCAAGAGGGGTCTGATTTTCTATTTGATAGCTCTGTAACCAAACAAAAGTGAAGGCTATAAAAATTATGGTTTGTCTGAGTAATGACAATTTTCTAGTGAATAATTTACATTTAATTTTGTACTTATTCGAGGGGTGGTGGATAAAATATAGAAGAGAAGATGCATAGATAAAATGTGTCACGTGTCATACTAGGGAAAATTCTGGATTTTTTTAAATATTGCCATATAAAATCAAGAACTTAAAACTTCTATTCTATTAAAATATGGATTATTATCTAAGATTTTATGCTATACTAATTGGTATAACATAAACAAAAATTAAATAAATAAAATTTTGAATGTAAGTCACTAAAACCTTGTGACATGCACAGTAAAGGATGCACATTGCAACAGGGTTAAAACACACTCATGTACACTTTTCCATCTTAAAAAATTATTCCAAACATTATCAGAATAACAATTATTGAACTGAATTTTTGAAATACACAGATTTACAGCTTGATGGCAGAATAAAAAAACATTTATAGTTAAAAAAGCAAGTTATTTTATGTACAAACCTAACTTTAATGATAAGATAATCATCACATTAAAAGAATGCTAATTAATTCTACCAAAGTTATATTAATAAAACTTACCAACACTGTAAATTTTCCTGTTTCTAATTCACTCTTTAAAGGTTCATTTATGGGATCAAACCTAATAAGTCCTTCTCTAACTCGTGTTATCTGCAAGATAATACAAACACTCCAGGTCATAAATTCAGCCTTCTAAAATTTATAAAGTTTTAATAAATGATATAAAATTAGAGAATTCCTGCTTAGACATCTAAAATTAATGTTCAATATTTATTGATTAAAATGCTTTAACTTTACTCCTCAAAAGAAATTAATTTTACAAAACCCAGAAAACTGATGATAGCAGTCACTTTCAAATAAAAACTCACATAACACAATTATAGATTAGTTCTTCATCTTATACTAGGTGCAGATCATCTTGTGAATAAGCCAATTTCTTAAATGTATAACATAAATTTTTATCAAACAAGATAAGTACCTATGTTTCTAAATAATCAAATATTCTACTTTCTGGCTTGTTAGTTTCATCTATTTACCAAATTTTGGAATCATAAAGAAAAGAAACTGTAATTTCAAGTTTATTGTTGAGTGAAAAACATAAATGCAGCTATGTTCAGAGCAGTCACTTTTCTTGCTGATACTTTTAACAAAAACTATGCATGAAAGATACAGATATATTAACAAATTATATTTTTTCTGACCTCATGAACTTCATATAGAGCTAGTGCTCTGTGAACATCAAACTTTCTGGCCATCATAAACTTGACAGCTGTGTTCCACGACAGGGGTCCAGCATTCCGTCTAAGTCTTAGATCATTGACAGTTTCAATAAACTCTTTTACTGCCTAAATAACATACAGTAAAAATAAAAACTGTTAAAGATTATTGCTATCCTGAACAGCGGATTATATCAGAGTGAAAGTAACACTTATGCTGTGAAAGGTAAACAATGGCTCTCACATTTTTATTGTCAAGTTTTATCATGACCAAGAAACCATTTAACAAACTTTAGTGAGAGATTACTAACAATATTAAACCTGTAATTGACTGTGAAGTTTATTTTATTTGCTCAAAGAAATGCTGTATACTTTTCACCATTTCCAATTTTGTATTTAAGAAATACCTGTAATTTAGCTGCAAAGAAGGTTTACAACTGTCTTATACTGTCCAAATGATACAAAGTACCACAAAATAAAGGTACTACAGACATAATATGCTTTACTTTTATTATAGGTATGTACTCCTTATCTTATGAACACACACATACAAAGTAGTTTAGTTTATTAATTGTCCTATTCTAGCAAGTCTGCACATTCCATACTTGCACAAATGAAACAGCTATAAGTTATGTACATAGTGTTATAGCTGCAAATACTCTTTTCAGTCACAGATATTTGTATACATAGTATTGATTTATTTAGAGCTTCACTCTTAGTATTTTAATGTTCTGATATTTTACTGAGCTCATTAAACACAGCACTACCTTAAAAGACAATACATATTTACTCATTCTCATCAGTGTCAATGTGTGTCATAACTTTTTTTTTTAAATATAGTCTTGCACAAACTTCTAATATGGAACTTGTTACTTTAAGAGACAGTGCTTAGCAATAAAAGTTTGCTATATAAATAAAAGTGACAAAACAGATTTACAGATGTATTGGTCTTTTTTATATTGTGATTCATTTTACATTTAAATGTTGTACACAAACATTTTATTAATGATGAAAGAAATGTGAAATAATTCTAATCTAGTTTTTAAACTGCTTCAAAGCTTTGAAACTGTTTTTAATCGAAAGTTTGTTTCCAAAAATTCCAGGCCCGATATGGACCCCAAGGACAAATAACTGATGTGAGAATAATGAATTGGTTTAAATTTTGTAAATACTAACCACAAAGTTAAGTGTAATTTATATATTTGTTTGCTCCTCATGAAGGAGTGTGATTATTTCAAAAATAAATGTGAAATACATATTTTTGAATTATATAAATTTAGTTCAATTTTGTATTACTGAAGTATTTTTTTGCTTATTTAGTCAAAGTAAAAAAGACAATATGATTAAATGCTTACTGGAAAACTCATGAAAATAATTTTGGCAGTTCTTAAAAGAAAGAAGACTGTAAGCTGTTAGCTTCCTAGTCTAGACTAGAACACTGAATTACAAAAGTATTAATACATTTAAGGACTTTTGTTTTTGTAGGTGTAAAAGGTCACAGTCATGATATGGAATCAGCTTTTAGCATGTAATGGATCTAAGTTTCAAATGGACAGCAACTGCCTGTGGTAGAAACCTACAAATGTAGAGGACAACATTTCGAAAGTCTTCCGCATTTCGTCTTCAGGCGGAAGACTTTCGAAACGTCTTCCTCTACATTTGTAGGTTTCTAC